CTGAACTCTGCAGAGAATAATTTCAAGCCTTATCCATAAGCAAAGTCCTTAAAGGACCACAGGGAATGTCTGAGACATTTATGAGTTTCTGCTGTACCTGCAGGCTGTGAAGGTCTATTGACAGTGTTTGCAATCCTTGCTAGGTTCCATGGGGATAAGCAAAGAATTTACAAGGTCTGCAAGACGTTTCAAAGGGGTTACTATGTGTGTTGAGAATAAATCAGCAAAAGTAAGGTGCTGTGAAAAGGTTGAAATAGGCTAATCCATCCAGCATGTTTGGCTGAGTTGTAAAGCAGGCTGAAAATCTGGGGTTTCATGTTTTTGGATTTGTTTGTGTGACTTTACAGCAGCAACTACCTGCATATGGATTTAAGTATTATAAGAATGGTTGATGTAAACTTTTATTTTGAAAAAGGAAAGGAAAATAAAAAGCCTGCAGTACTAATGACAACGTGAGATTTGCAGGATTTCAACACCACAGACATCATGTTTTGTGAAATTTCAAATGGCAAGGGGAGAACAAGAGGCCCATTGTAAAAATGTGCAAGTTCTAAGGGAGACCTTAAAGTCTAGCTATCTCTTGTGGTTTTTATTGTTCATTGTCATTATCACAGAGAGATTGTGGGAGCAGAAATGACAGGCAGTGGAAACCAGAAATGACAGACCAAGCAAGCATGAGTGATTTTTAAAGAAGTCTTAGGACTAAATCTCATGATAGTCCCTTAAACACAGATCTCAGAGCAAAGCCTCCTGACCTCCTCCTTTCCTGCTTTCCATGGGCTAATGCCAACATCCTGCAAAGTGAGTCTCTTTCTCCTTCAACCTAGGCAGGTTCCTAAGGCTGTTCTCAAAGCAGGAAGCTCTCAGATCCAGGGGTGTTCCCCATTTTTCTGCTCAAACTTGCAGACCCCACACGGCAGTGAGAGCCACAGGGCTTTATGTGCTCAGTGCTCTGCTGTGTTCCTGTCCTGTGTTGAAGGCAGCCAGGGCTGTCTGTGCTCTGTTCATTTTGATTGATAGAATAAGGTCTCTGATGTACTAGATGAAGGCATTTATGCAAATATATCCCACTTGAATCCCCCAGCTCTGCCTTGCAGGAGATTCAAGCTCGATATCTTCTGTTCAAAGAAAACTGTTTGCAAAACTCAGAAGGCAATCCCATCCAGCCTTCCATGGCTGGAAGTGTGGTTGCAGTAATAAGTGCTTCAAGGGCAGTGCAGAGAATGCCAGGAAAAAATGGGATCCAAGCAGGAAGAACAGACAGGCATGGAAGGACTCCCCATCCTGGGTGGTTTGTGGGGAGAGGCCAGAGGGATCTATTTCCACAGAAGCAAATGTCTTACTCAGCCTGCTAACATCTGAAGTATGGTTTGCTGGGTCTGTCTGCCTGTGTAGTCCATACTAAAAACCACAAATTGCTTGCAGTAGGATCTTTGAGTTGAACATTCAAAAACCTCTTTTGTGATTGTTTTGAGTCTTAAAGGATTGTCTTTTGTCCCTCTTGTTCTTTAATTTAGTAATAGTTTTGTCTTGTGTGACAGAAGCTGAAACACCCAGAGAACAGTTACTAACAGTTGCTACTCCCATTCCTCCTGTGCAAAGCTACAGTTCTTTGAACAGATGACTCTAAGGGACACATTCTAACTCACACGTACATACTTGTGTGTGGTTTAT